ATATGAAGTAAGCCAATTTAGACGAATACTGAACACCTATTTATCCTAAAGATTCTACAGCAGTCTCCATGCATGATCCTATTATACAATCACAGACCATACAAGTCTCGCAGTGATATCAATATTTGATGCAAAGTAAAGACTTAAACAGCCTCAACAAATCCCCTCTATTATTCTTATTTTATTGACGGTATTTCTAACCTTTGAGCATAATTTTAACGTATGTAATGGAAATCTCCAGATATCAATTTCTTCCAACGAATATTTTCTTTTGAAAATTTTACTACTGTTCTACCTATTAGGACTATCACTCGGATTTCTCGATTATAGCATGATTACTGCTAATAATGTGATTCATGCTACTAATATCGACAGATATAAGTAGTATACATCATGAATCGAAAGTGAAATATCTAGCAGTAAAAGGTTAAGAAGATCGAAGAAAAGAAAACGAGAACAATCGTTGATTGTTATGGAAATGAAAGAATAGTAAAGTCTGAGATGACTGATCAACATTTGCAAAAAGAACAGTCAAGTTTGAGATAAATGATTAACATTTTGCAAATAAAGTAAGGATCTTAGATTTTATTAGGATGTTCTGCAATTTCGATTATCACCACTCGTATTCTTACTCACTATTATAAGACTTATTTTTAAAAAGAAATTACTGGAATAGCTTATTGTTTAATTGACACCACATACATGTAACAAGACATTTTGTAAATTAGAAAATAAATAATATACTGAGGTGTCAGACATTATTTATTTTGGACACAAACTGAGTTGAAGTTACACATTAACACCGTTGGATGCCAGTTTAATGGTCTAGTGGTTAAGCGCTCTCGAGCAAAACCTATAGGTCCTGGGTTTTAATCTCGAGAGGCGAGATCGTGGACTCACATTACTGAGGAATCCCACAATAGAGCGAAATGGCTTTCCAGTGCTTCCCAGGTTTTCAATGGTGATCTATCTTCAATTATAGTTGAAAGCGTGAGTTAATTGAAGCTAGACCACCATGGAAAACCTGGAAACACTGGACCGCCGTTTCGTCCTATTATAGGACTCCTAAGCAGTGCGCATCCACGAACCCACTCTCGCGAGATTCGAACCCAGGACCTACCAGTCTCGAGCCGAAGCCCTTAACCGATAGACCACTGAGCTGGTTAAGGGATTCGGCTCGAGACTGTTAGGTCCTGGGTTCGAATATCGCTCGCGAGAGTGGGTTCGTGGATGCGCACTGCTTAGGAGTCCCATAATAGGACGAAACGGCCGTCCAGTGTTTCCAGGTTTTCCATGGTGGTCTAGCTTCAATTAATTTATGATCTCAACTTTTAAAATTCAGTTGATTGTAAATCACAGTTATTTATAAAGAAGAAAACTATAAATTAGATCTTGATGGGAAAAAACGAATAGAACTATAGTATAACAGTTGTTATATATTCAATCATCTCTTATATCTAATAATTGAATAATTACACTATTGACATGTAAACATATAAATAGGCCTATTAGTGTTAATGAAAGAATTTAGGATACAAATTTATGTTTCTATGACGTATTGGTTATTTGTAAGAGGAAAAACATTTTTTTGGAATGAAGTAATAGAAATTAGAAAAAGAAGGTTAACCGATGTGTAATTTAACATTATGTTAGGTCATTTTAACAAAGTAACATGTTATCAATCATACAATGAATACATTGTGGTGGTCGATATTCGGTACTATCCCTAAGCTTCGTATATTGTACGTCTTGATAACCGTTACTTGACAACGTCTTAACGATGTATAAATCAGAAGACGAATACGAAGAGTTGATCGCGTTTATTACTGAACCACACACAGTTATCCAATATTATAGGTACGTCAAACAAGCATGAAAAAGCAGTGCCGTAGAGCCGGATGAATGAGTAAGCATATACAGTACGGTGTAGCGTAATACAGAGCAGAGCAGAGAGCAAGCAGGGCAAGTGCAGTAAACAGGATTAAGATGTACATATATATATAAGTGGAAAAGCATGAATCATCGGATCAAATAAGCGATTAATAATAATGCTAGCGGAATGAATATATGCGTAGGCAGTAGGCAATGTTCAAGCGTATATAATAAAAGTACAATGCTATAGATGCGTTGTTATTGTATGAATGACTGTCCATTAAATAAGTTAACAAAAGGGGTTAAATAAATTAGATGTAAACAAACTCAATTGTATCTGAGTTGCTATAACATGACTACTTCTAATGAACTACTTATTCCGTTATATATTTGAAAGGAATCATCAACTATACATTAATCTTTTAAAAAAATACATTTCAAACTAGTGAAGAAGATTTGTAGTTTAAATGGATGATTTTGATCGAGTTTTGTTCTTTGAGCTAAATGGTTTGATCATTATTTTTAAAAATATAAGTTGACCTGAATTCATTTAATGAATTCAGATTACAACAATTAACTTTGTCCTATTATGGGACTCCTCAGCAGTGCGCGTCCACGAACCCACTCTCGCGGGATTCGAACCCAGGACCTACCAGCTTCGAGCCGAAGCCCTTAACCGATAGACCACTGAGCTGGCATCCAACGGTGTTAATTTCTAACTTCAACTGATTCACGAAATTGAGCAACCATTCACCAATGTCATCAGTGAGTTCCTATCTCACAACAGACCTGGTTGAACTCCACCGGTTACTGCTTCTCACTAGAACTCCAGGAAATACCTCAAGGAGTCAGTCACTAGTGAGCACCTGATTATTATCAGAAGGGGTTTTGTGGAGATTTTAGTATTTTTATAGAGTTGAGATCATGAGTCAATTGAAGCTAGACTACCATGGAAAACCTGGAAGCACTGGACGGCCGTTTCGTCCTATTATGGGACTCCTCAGCAGTGCGCGTCCACGAACCCACTCTCGCGGGATTCGAACCCAGGACCTACCAGCTTCGAGCCGAAGCCCTTAACCGATAGACCACTGAGCTGGCATCCAACGGTGTTAATTTCTAACTTCAACTGATTCACGAAATTGAGCAACCATTCACCAATGTCGTCCAGTGCTTCCAGGTTTTCCATGGTAGTCTAGCTTCAATTGACTCATGATCTCAACTCTATAAAAATACTAAAATCTCCACAAAACCCCTTCTGATAATTAACTTTGTGTTTAGTTCACTTTTGTTCACATTATCCCTCTGAAGTAAAGTTATATTAAAGATATAATGTGGATGAAATTGTTCCCTTCTTCTCTTAGATATTACTAATAACAATGGATTACTTGATGTAAGGGAAACGAAAAACTAAACCACATATCATAGATCATTGCCTATTTCATCTATTATATTGTGAAGAAGTAAAACCAAATAAATCATATAAGATGAAAATATAGAATTAGGTGTTGTATATTTAATGGATAATATGTTGAATGTAGACAACCAATATATATTGGAAAATAATAAATACAAACGTTGATTCAGTTACAACAGTTCACAGTTTTTCCAAAGTTTATATTTCAAGGAGATATCTACTGTTTTACAGTCTGTCTAAAGATCTAGTGTATTTTGATATGATTTTCATTAATTAATAAGTTATTAAACAATAAGATTGATAAATAACCATTCCTTTTAAGTGTTAAGCTTTTTAGTTTGGGTAATATATTATAACATCATTTGTATTCAGACGTAAAAGTCAGAATGATTCTAGGTGAAACAATGAATTTTTAGATAGTTGTTTGCATCCGATTTGATAATTTATCAAATGCCTCCCCAAATGCTCTGGTACGGCTGAGTGTGGGGAGAGTCTGCTCTCCCTCTACAAATTGTCTCACATGCCTACGCGTATATAGCATCTGCAAAGGGAAATCCTACTCAATGCCTTCTCGTAGCGGGGGTATTGTTTACTAAAATGAGAGGATGAAAAGTGAATGTCCAGCTCTTCAACCTGGTCGGTGGACACAGAAAGTCCACCTAGGGGAGTTGAGAAACCCTGATTCCAAGCCAATGGTATACATGGGCTCCAGTATCCTGAGGGAACAAATGGAGTATGAACCAATCGTTGGTCACCGGTTACCATAAGACTGCATCTCCTCACGATGTTCCACTGCATCGTCGATCAGACCTTTAGATCAAAGGCTCCGGATATGGCCCTCTACTGAAAACCACCTGCTTCGATCTTCGCAGTCGAGCAGTATCCAAGCCTTCACATAAATCAAATGAGATTTGTGTGGCGCATATGTATCGCCTTTGTTGCAATATTTATGTGTTTAAATAAATAAATAATATTCATAATTATTAGCTTTATTCAACATCATATTTTTGGTGCAATATAGAATTCTCAGCACAGTCTATTTCAACAAGTTTCCATTTCTTAATTCTTGATCGATCCTGACGACAAATTTGGAGTGATCACCAGTAAGGAGTTAGCAGTTCAGTTAATCGACATCAAAATAATGTACATTTTTTTTGGCTGTATATTGTCAGCAACAACGATATCTCTCTGATTAGGCCTTTTGTAACATGTACAGCAATAGGTTGCACACTTTTCAGAAACGCACTTGGATAGGTTTCGTGATTAATGACCATAATAATGTATTAAAAGAAACAAAATTAGATAAGTTGTTGAAATATTGAGATTACTGGAACAGATAGTCCAGATAATCAAGCAGGCTGTCAATGATCTTACCCTTTATCAACAATGGACTATTTGTTCATTTTAAATTAAAATATCTCATCAGTTTATGGATTTGAAAATACAAGTAATTGGATTCCTTTACAGTAGACCAGTATTGATATATTTATCCTAAGTGCCATATGATATCATTAGGATTTCCTTCGTTTTTCAGATGTTTGTATTACTTAACTCATTTTATATTTAACTAATCATTTTTATGACTAGTTAGATTTGATAGCGAGTCAATTTTCAAGGAACTACATAGAGCGTTATTACGTCGATCCTTCGTATTAAACAGAAATTGGACTTTAGTATTCTTGTAACAAAATTATTTAATAAAATGATAACTTACTTGTCACAACCAGATGAGTTCTTTGATTCGATGAAATTGTTTTATCAAATAGGCTTACTGAACAGTAATATTGTCCAGTGTCAGAAAGTTGTAGTGAATGGATGAGCAAGATAACAGCACTTGGTTTGTGTTTCTTGAAATTTTCTTGTCTAAAATGAGGTTTTTGTGAATATATTTCCCATGGTAAACCAGAGTCATCACCACCAATGTAAATTAAACGATATCTGTCAGCTGAATAGAAGTAAAATGGTTGTAAATTTTCAAAACAAAAAAAAGTTTCTTTAATGAAGTCAACGAAATGATTTGCATAAAAGCTTAAATATGCTAACCCAAGTGATAGCATCAGTTCTTATAATTCGTTTATCTTACCCAGCATATATGTCATTACCAGTCGATGGTATATGAAGATTGACTTTTTGTGTGGTTGGTACTCGAACTGAGTTACTAATATTACTAAAATGAACAACGCTCTCGATATCTCATCTTGATTTCAACATACAAGCGACCATTACAGTGGCGAATGGTGTGACTATTAGCACACCATCAAAATCAAAACAACAATAATTTAGAAAATTCTCACTTCCAATGAATGTTTAAGACTGTTTTGAACAATGAATACAAAGATGTGTCCACTATATGATATATTACGAACATTAGTTCAAATAAGATTTCCTAAAGTTAAAATTTATAATCTCATGTTTTGTGTTTATTGAACAGATTGTGTTAATATTTCTTCTGATTAATGTATTTGAATAAATTGTTTGTCATTAACACGCTTGGATGCTGGAGGTGGATAGGATATACTCTGAGGAAATCATCAACCTACATTACTAAGCAAATCCTAACTTTGAATCCTGATGAAAAGAGGAAACGAGACCGATCAGAAATTACATTGGGTAAGGAATAGGAGGAAGACACAAAAATGATGAGTATTACTTGAAAACACCTGGAAATGAGAGCGGAGGACAGAGTTGGTTGGAGAATTCTGATCAGGAACCTATCCACTAAAAGGCGAAACAGGCATGAGTGTGCAAGTAAGTACTCAAATGTTTGAGGGATACACATTACCAAATCATCTTACATAATGTCATCACGTAATCCGTTACTGAACATGAGACTTAGAAATGAATTGTACTAAACTTTATGTAGTTACAGGTATATAATATTTATTTTGGTTACTAATCATACTTTCTTCCAATCTATAATCTGATTAGAATCTATTTTGAAAAATAATTCCTCTTTCAAATACCTGTGTGATATAGTAAGAAGAAAAATAGTGTGTCAGCCGTTGTATTAGGTCATATTAACATTAATTTGAATTGTGAGAACATAGCTCAGCAACTAAAGACCTTTATTTTGAGACAAGATTAACACTAATGTTTTAAAAAAATGGAATCCTTTGATCAAAAGTTTGAATCTCGCAAGGCGGGATCATGGATGCGCACTGCTGAAGAATCCCACAGTAGGACGATGCGGCCGTCCGGTGCTTTCAGGATTTCCATGATGATCTAACTTCAATTGACTCATGATCTCAACTATTAAAAGTCATTTCCTTAAGAAAATATTGCAATAATAAAGTATCATTTGAATTTACTTACTTTGTGATAAATCTAATTTTATATTGTTATGATAAAAGTGTACTGTAGGTAATGATGGTTGTGACAATGGTAAATGACAAATAACAACTGCTGTATTTCCAATAAGAAGTGATAAATATTTATCTGAATGAGGTGGGAAGGCTGGAAGAACTGTAAAAAAAAGTGTAGAAAAAAGGACAGATTATAAGACAAACAAGCTATTCTTATCAAAGCATAAATTGAAACATGATATTTTATAGATTACATCATGGAATAATCTTAAACAAATATGGATACATCAGAAGAGATTTTGTGAAGATTTCAGTATTTTCATAGTTGAAATTATGATACAATTGAAGCTAGACTACCATGGAAAACCTGGAAGTACTGCACGGCTGTTTAGTCCTATTATGGGACTCCTCAGCAGTGCGCATCCACGATCCCGCAGTCGCGAGATTCAAGTCGAGGACCTACCTGTCTCGCCTAATCAATGAACCACTGAGCCGGCATCCAACGGCCTTCCAGTGCTACCAGGTTGTTCATGGTCGTCTGGCTTCAATTGACTCACTATTTCAGTTAGGAAAATATAGATACCCTTTTCATCCTAGTATAGAAGTCTTGAATAATATGCATTAATGACTTTACCAGTGATTGAACAGAGAGTCCTTAAGTCCCCAGGTGATTCCTCAACTTGTGGACCACCATACTTGGATATAATGGAAAACATGTTCAACTTAATCGGCTCATGATATTTTCAAAACTATTCTATTTGTAAATGTTTGCCTCACATCCAACATAATTTCTTGCTAGAACTCATGTTATTTAACACGAGAACCGAAGAATCCACAAAAAAAGTAGGCACAAAAAATACAACTTTACTTAGTGGTGAAACGTTAACAAACGTTTCTATTGCCTTTCATATGTTTTAAACAATCCACAATATTTCATGACCATCCTACAGTGTTTTCAGCGAGTAACTGTATCACAACAGACGCGGTTGAACTCCATTGGTCATAGCTTGTTACTAGAACTCCAGGAAATTCATCTTGAAAGCCAGTGATTAGTGAGAAAATGATAATTATCAGTATAGGGTTCAGGAGATTGTTGAGTTTAGACTGATATCATAAATATCACTGAATAACTCATGAAATACACTATAACGTAATAAAGTTTTTAGATACAATTCACTGAATACCAATACAAAATTTCATACAGAAAGAATCAATGACTAGTAAATGAAGAGTATACTAGTTGCTCAATTGTTATATAGTTTACTAGGCATTCATTTTAATATAAATCAATTCTTTGTACATCTTAAACAATTATCTATTATATGAATAGGTCAATTGAAAGTAGTATAGTAAACAAATAATTTTTATCGGTGTGGGAATTTGTGGAGCTTATAATATTTTCACCGTTGAATTCACTAGCCGATATCGAGGTTAAACGTTCATATGCGCAATCGAAGGTCCTCAGTTCGAGTTCCATGTACGACATTGTGAATGCGCACTACTGAGGCAAAACAGCCTTCCAGTGCTTCCAGATTTTCAGTGGTGGTCTATAGTTTAAATCGAATCTTGAATTCATCTGTGAAAATCATTATTATTTCAATCTAGTGAGAATATTTTTCTTAACCTGCATTGATTTTTCAACAGATGCTATAAATCATCAGCAGTACTAAGTCACTTTCTTTCTTTATATGTAGAAAAGTTAATTTGGTTGTCGTCAAGTAAGAAAGTTACTTTCTCAGCTGTCAGTAAACGTTTATGTGAAATTCATTTATTATTTTTTTATCTAAACAGTTTTCTGAATATTCACTTCTATTTGTTATGAATACAATCAAAAATACACTGTATTGTCACAACTCTCCACCCTTTTTCATACCCCCTCTAATCAAACTATGACTTATTTATTTATAAAAGTATACAAATCTTGGTTTCATTGTGTGTTTTTTTGTGTATGGGTGTAACCATTCATCCATAGTGTTTAACTTTTCTCTACTTTCGTTTTTTTTTCTTTTTTTTTCTGTCTAGATAACTACGAGTTACCATACCAATTTCACACCGCATTAAAAATACAAAAAAAAAATTGAATATAATCTTTTTTTTTCATTTTTTATTATAATTTATTTGTCACACGATAACAACTTTCTATGACAAGAAAAAGAAAAAAAAATAAAGTTGAGACTTTTAGTTTTCTTCTTTTTTTTACTGTTTTTTTCTCTCTCTACTCAGTTTTGTTTGACTATTTTGTTCTTTGAGAAAAGAAAAGGAAGTAGATGATGAAGAAGAAGAAGATGGATACAATTTTTTCTGTCTGGTTTTCATTATGTAGAAGAAGAAGAAGAAGAATGATTACTAGTAATAGATTTTGGTGAATATTTAACAAACTAATCATTAAATTCAACTTAGTATTGTTTGTTTGAATCATCCCATCGATTTGTTAGGACTGCAACTGGTCAGTCTCTAATTGGAATATGTGCATACTGTGCGTATTGCCTCGATATACCTTAATTCACAAGCATGGTTAGCATAGATGGATATCGAGGCAATACGCACAGTATGCACATATGCCAATTAGAGACTGACCAGTTGCAGTCCCAACAAATCGATGGGAAGATTCAAACAAACAATACTAAGTTGAATTTAAACTTCACTCCATCGCACAAGCAAGTGGCTATCAGGGCTCAGTGGCCGAGTGGATAACGCGATGGCGTTTGAAGCGAGGGTACTGGGTTCGAGTCCCAGAGTGAACATCAACTCTGAGATGCAGGTACATCCAGCTGACGAGTCCCAAATAGGACGAAACGCGCGTCCTGGATTCCACTGGTATCCACTATCCATCTCTGCTAAACAAATCATTAGTTTACTATTGACTGAATCATTGAAGAGTGTGACCAATGTGACCACGTTTATTTAGTTCTGTACTACTGATTGAATTCTGTCAAGTTAGTTGTAATGTAGACACTAAGTGAATTGATTTCGCTTGCGGTATATTGATTCAAAATTTCTTTTTAATCGCCTTGGAATTCATAATACCTTAACAAAAGTGCACAGTATTTCAAGTTCCTCAGTCTGGTGGTCACATCGCAACCTACTAAATAGAATTCAATCAGCATTGAGGGATTTGGCAAATACGGCACTAGTCACTGATCGATTTACAATGAATATTTCAGTAGTACAGTAGTTTAGTCACAGGTAAATGGTAGAATCTATGACTGTGAACCTGGGTGATGCAGATCTGAAACTACCATGGTACAAAAATTCCCTTAAAATCACAGGTACCTGTTATTGACAAGTGCAAAATAATCTATATCCAAGGCGTCCTGTAGACTACCTCCAATCATCTAAAAAATCACCAAATATATTTCATAGGATGAATACAACTGTCATAAATCAAGTTGATAGTTATAGCCAATCTATAATTAAATTAAATGGAATGTAATATGCCTATCATTAAATATTAAGCAGTAGATCAAATGTTTACGCATATTCACTTTAAACAGATGACTTCAATATAATGGACTAACAGTCAATTATTTAAAACCCAGTAAAGAACTAGTTGATATCTTCTCACTAATGATAATATCGATGGAGTATTGAATCTGAAAGGGTTTTGTGGAGATTTCAGTATTTTCATCGTTGGAATCATGGGTCAATTGAAGCTAGACCACCATGGAAAACCTGGAAGCACTGGATGGCCGTTTTGTTCTATTAAGGGAGCACCAGTGCTTCCAGGTTTTTCATGGTGGTCTATCTTCAATTGACTCATGATTTTGACTATGAAAACGTATTGAATGTACAAATGTGAAATGCAAGTAATTTAACTGTCTTATAATCTCCGTAAACACTACATGTTGATCAAGTACTAACTATCCTATCATAAGAATTGATCGTGCTTATGAGAACAGTTTTAAAAATTTGCTCTTTAGTTAATGCAGTCGATAATGTTTGTAACATGTTACAACATTAAAGATCATCAATAATAATGTTACACAACCTCTGTACCAAAAATTGGATTTAAACAAGTGTCTTAACTCTAGACAATAAACTAGTGTAAGCACATTGCACAAGCAAGTGGATATCAGGTCTCAGTAGCTTAATGGATAATGCGGTGTCGTTTAAAGCGAAAGGTACTGGATTCGAGTCCAAGACTGTACATCAACTTTGATATCCAGATGCATCCAGCTGACGAGTTCCAATTAAGACAAAATATGTTCTGGATTCCAATGCTTACCACTATACATCCACCACCATCCAAATATTGTTAACACTCATGAATTCTTATTAATTATCAATATAGTTTACAGTACATTTTAAACACAATGATTCAATCTTATACCATCGTTTTGGTATATATCAATTATAATCAAGACAATGCATTTAAAAATGGAAGAAGAAAACACTGATATATCATAGATAACGAAATGAAATCTGTCCAACAAATACTATTCTGTCTGTATTGGATATTAGAATGATGCAACTTACATATCAAATAACATGGTATACACTACACTGACAGATGTTGTCAAGACTTTTAAGGATAAATAGTAAATAAATTTGTTGTTATTCTATCAAAGTAAAGTGGGGTTTTTTTGTTGTTGTATAAATTTCATATTTTTTAGCCTTCCATTTTATGGTAAATGAATAAGGTATGTTGCTATCGTCTAGTTTCCTATTTTCTTGATAAGTAATCAGATAATTTCATTGAACAATTTTTATAACATTTAAAAAACAAAATCATACAATTATTCTATTAGAAGAGGATTTGTGGAGATTTCAGTATTTTTCAAAGTTGAAATCAAGAGTCAATTGAAGCTCTGCGCACTTCTGAGGAGTCCCATAATAGGACGAAACGGCCGTCCAGTGCTTCCAGGTTTTTGATGGTGGTCTAGCTTCAATTGACCCATGATTTCAACTTTGATTAATGTATTAGTTTTAATATTTTCAACAGAATGGAATGAATCAGCCAGTGAATAAGTATGATTGAATGATTTTTCATCACAATGAGAATTTGTAAAGATTGTAGTAATTTTAATAGTTGAACTCATCAGTCGATTAAAGCTAGACAATCATTAAAAACCAGGAAATAATGAGTGGCTGTTTTTTCTTAGTATGAGACGCCTCAACAATGTATATTCATGATTCCCTATGCGGGACTCGAAATCAGGATACCGGTTCAGTGGTCTAGAGGTTAAGATTACGCATGCTGGACGATGGTCCTTGATTCGAGTCCCCTGTGAGAGACCGTAGTTGATCACCCTTGAGGAGTGCCATACTAGAGCGAAAAGGCTATCCAGTGCTTCCAGGTTTTCAATTATGATCTAGCATCAATTGAATAATGAACTCAACTATTAAAATTACTATAATATCCACGAAAACCCCTTCTGATATTAATCAACATATCCTCACTAGTAAAACAGTATTGAAGTGATGAATTAGTCAAATTTAATGTAGTTGTTCTTAGATGTTTGCAAGAAATTCAAAACATCTTTTGAAGTCATGATTTGAATCATGAAAAGAATTACTGAAATCTCCACAAAACCCCTTCTGATAATAATCAACATATACACACTAGTGACTGGATTCATAAGGTATTTCCATGAGTTCTAGTGAGAAGTAGTGACCAGTGCAGTTCAACTGGGTTTGTTGTGAAATAATAATTCACCGAATAGAATAGTGGATGTGTCACTCAATTTTGTGGATTAGTTGAAGTTAGATACTAACATTATTGGATGCTGGCACAGTGGTCTAAGTGTTCACTCACAAGACTGATAGGTTCTGGGTTCAAATCTCGTGAATTATTTGTTAAGCCTTTACCTGGCTATGGAAGGGATTGGACTGTTACATTAGATTTTTTCCCCTTATACATCTTATTTGTTTTAATGATTATAACTCAACAGCTTGAAGTTAATTTTCCCTATCCCTTTCTTAAATAACCTTTCAATTTAAAAAAAAAGATACATTTTACAATAGTTGACACTATAACTGATACAAAAGTTCACTTTTCTTCTTTAACACATAACACTATGGCAGTCATTCATTCATTCAAGTAACTTCTATTTAAGCTATTATAAATATAATAATCATAGAATCATTAAACTGTAGAGCGAGTAATGATAAACCAACTGTATACAAAATGTTCACTCTATCAATCATTGTTTCTCTTAAAGACTATACCATCTGACAATAACAATAGTCTTTGTTCAAATAACCAATTAGAGGTTAATGTATTTGTAGAATAGTCCAAATCTAGACAAAATAAAATACATAAAGAAAAATGCATACAAATACATTTTATATCTGACGTCAACCTGTTTTCTTGATGTCATTTATTTCTGTTTTAATAAATTGTTTATGACTATGTTATAAACAAAGAATGGTGTTATTACATAAACATTAGTGAAAAAAAACCTGTGTAGTTGAATTCCATGGATTAGTTTAAGTTAAACAATAACACCGATGAATGCTGGCTCAATGGTCTAGAGGTTAAACGTTGGCGCGAGAGAACGGAGGTTCTGAAATCGAATCCCGCATGCAAGGTCATTAGTGTATACTGCTGAAGAGTTTCACAATACGACTTAACGACCGTTCAGTTCTTTCAGGTTTTCCATGATAGTCTAGCTCTAATTGAGGGAATAATGTGTGTCTTAATTTCGTGGATTGGTTGAAGTTAGACACTGACACCGATGAATGCAGGCTCAATGGTCTAGTGGTTAGGCGTTAGCGCGCAAGATCGGAGGTCCTGGTTTTGAATCCCGCTTGCAGGATCGTGGATGTGCACTGTTGAGGAGTTCCACAATTGAATGAAACGGCCGTCCATTATTTCTAGGTTTTTTATGGTGGTTTAGCCTTAACTGACCCATGATTTCAACTTTTTAATAAGTATTTATTTATTGTTGTTATCATATTTTCTATTTACATACCATCTAAGCTTGATGATGTGTGATAAATAATCGAAAAGTGTACTGTGAATTTCTTATGTGGTTTCGAATTATTTTTATTTATATTTATATACGTAACACTTATATCATACGTAATTCTTTATTAAGAAAGCATATTTTCAAATGATGCTCAGATTATTCATCCCTTCTAACTCCTTACTTCGAGGAAATTCAGTATTTACATGCAGCTTATGAAAATCTAAGTAGTTTTAAATGTGATTTTGGCCGGATGTACCTGCATCTCAGATTTGATGTTCACTCTGAGACTTGAACCCAGTACTTTTCACTTCAAACGCCATCGCGTTATTCAATCAGCTACTGAGTAGATAATACTAGCCACTATCCATCATTGCTTATATTCCCTGTGAATTAAGGCTATATCGAGGCAATTCGCACAGTATGCACATATGTCAATAACACACTGATCAATTGCAGTGTTGAACATCAATGGGAACACTCAAGGAAACAACAACAAGTGAATTTTACCTTAAGATAGTATAATCAGTTTTGAACCAATCACAATCCAGGTAATAAACATGGATATTGTACCATATTAAACTAAATAATTTGAAAAATATACCTACTCTTTACATAACGAATTGAGGTTCACATTAAGCTTTTTTATTGTTAAGATTAGTGTGGGAAACAAAAACTTTTTCATGCGATTTCCGATCACTTTAATTTTAGACCGTAACAAAGTATTAACTATCCGTTAATACATTTTAAATTTTATCAAAAGGTGTTTTGTGGAGATTTCAGTAATTTTTTTTTAATAGTTGAAATCATGAGTCAATTGGAACTAGATCAACATGGAAAACATGGAAGCACTGGATGGCCGATTCGTCTCATTATGGGAATCCTTAACAGTGAGCATCCACGATCCCGCCTCGCGAGATTCGAACTACGGACCTATCAGACTCTCGCGCGAGCACTTAATCGATAGACATCTGAGTCGTCATCCAACGGTATTAATGTCTAACTTCAACTAATCCACAAAATTGAGTGACACATCCACCATTGTATTCGGTGAATTATTATTTCACAACAAACCCAGTTGAACTGCACTGGTCACTACTTCTCACTAGAACTCATGGAAATACCTTATGAATCCAGTCACTAGTGTGTATATGTTGATTATTATCAGAAGGGGTTTTGTGGAGATTTCAGTAATTCTTTTCATGATTCAAATCATGACTTCAAAAGATGTTTTGAATTTCTTGCAAACATCTAAGAACAACTACATTAAATCTGACTAAATCATCACTTCAACACAATTTGACTAATACAACTAACACTAAATGAGTAAAATCTATTTTGAAGTTGATAATCAATGAAAAATCGTATACAAGAAAAGACAAAACAACTTACCACTTGTTTTCAAATCAATCAAATGACTAGATACTGTACCATAATTTGTAGTAGCTAAGATTATTAATTTCATATCTGGTAAAAAATTATATACAGAAATTAACCAAAGATTGATATTTTCTTTAATATTAATATTATTATTATTACTATTATCTATATTACTTATATATGAAATTAAGTAGTTTAGATGAGCTAAATTATCATGTATAGTAAGTGATTGAATTTTAGCATGAGTTTGAGCAAATGTCATTGAATATAATTCTGTAGAATATTCATGTACTGTAGGTATATAAATAATCATATTTGGTTTATCTTTATGTATAGCACCAAGTTGTATAGTTGCATTTCTTGGTGTAATTAATGCATATAATTGAAATTTAGGGATGAATTGTGATTGATTTGATGAATAATATATTCTATCAATTGGTTCTATGATAAATTTTGGTAGATCTATAAAAAGAATAAGAGAGAAAATAAAAAGTTTCAATGGATTCATGATCTCAACTGTTAAAATGATTATAATATCCCATCAAACCCGTTCTGATATGAAATAAAAAAGATCTAAGGCTTCTAGGTTTTCCATGGTGGTCTAGCTTCAAATGACTCATGATCTCAACTCTATAAAATAACTGAAATCTCCACAAAAACCCTTTCTGATAATGATCACATGCTCATTAGTGAATGGCTCCATGAGGTATTTCCTGGAGTTCTAGTGAGAATCTGTGACCAGCGGAGTTCAACCACGTCTGTTGTGAGATATGAACTCACTGATGAAAATTCGTGAATGGTTGCTTAATTTCGTAGAACGGTTGAAGTTAGACATTAACATCGTTGAATGTCGATCGGCTCAGATTTCTATCGATTAAGTGCTCGCGCGAGAGACTGATAGGTCCTTAGTTCGAATCTCGCGAGGCAGGATCGTGGATGCTCACTGCTGAAGAGTTCCATGATAGGACGAAACGGCCGTCCAATGCTTCCAAGTTTACCATGGTGGTCTAGCTTCAATTGATTCATGATCTCAACTCTATAAAAATACCCAAATAATAGTCAACTTCGTTGTATTCAATAGTAAATATTCAGTATAGTGAGGCGGGTTTCCTCTTGATCTATAATCCTCTTGATCTTTAATTGCAACTTATTAAAAAAATATAACAAAATGTTTATTTACAGTAATTTTCTTAGTAGTTACCTTTATGTTTATGAATTTCAAAGTACTGCGACTTTTGCTGATAAGCAACATATAAAATTGTTGCTCTGGTCTTTAGAAGGTGCATCGACGTCATGACTTCCGAAGGAACTCGGCTTTCATCATGAGGCGTCATAATTATTCCTTCAACTCCTTGGGCAGAATTTAAATTTTTTGAATTATTTTTACTGACTAGCGTTTTCTTTTGGCGAGTTGGTTTTCTACGGGTTTCCACGGTTTTCTACGTCTTTAGCTCCTCCGAGGGCAACTGCCGGTCCCAAGCCCGGATAAAGGAGGAGGGTTTGGCACGAGGTTAGTGACCCCATCCTGGTGATTAGGTGGGATAGCTTATTCTTGCTATAAGAAAACTGGCCAAATGCTTGGAAAGTTTTCAATATCTATTCACAATTATATTATAATCTGATTATTACTTCTAAGAATCAAGACTCATAAATATTACTTGTATTATTTTTGTATTGAAAATTGTTGTATCCCTATAACAATAGTGAATGGTAACTTTGGGATCTATTTATGAACCAATACTATGCATATATTTTTATCGTATAGTTACAAAATAACTAAACTATTTATATTCATGTTCCCCTTATTATGAGCTTTATTTTGGCTCATGAACTATTGTCATACGATTTACCGTTATTGAATTATGCCTTGTCTATTATTTACTATCCCCCTAATCACAGTCACATTTGGCTAAATTATGTTCAAATATTATTTTCTATTTTATAGTAGGATATGGTCAGATTGTTTGGTATATAAACCCAGTACTTTTTAAGATATAATGATTCACACCGCAGAGGCTGTTATTAGTGTTCTGGACTTAACTGGCTGTGCTAGGCAGAAAGCAGGACCGACAAGCACTCTAACCTGCTCGTACGGGTTTTATGTGTCACTGGTCCGGTTGATAACTCACTGCTCTCTAATTGGCGGTCTTATCAAGTTATACATTAACAGGTCATCCAGATGGTCACAAGTTATAACAGAAATATTCCATGATATTCATTTAAGTTCCATATATACATGAAAATATACGATATGATAATATTGCAACAGTACTGACTTATTCATTCACAAACCATTTAAACTGAATACATTTGTTTCTTAGTCATGATTGATTATACTTCTTCATGTTACCCATTATACGTTCGTTTGTTATTTAAATATGAATTACTTGAAACAATCTGTGAGGATAATAGACACTGTTTACTTAAAATTCAGCTACTTCTGAACAGCTTTAACGTTTGTCAGTGTTCACTGTAAGATTCTCAAGTTGTTCAGTTTCAACATTTATTAAGTATCACTTCTGTTTTTATTAAGTTTATTTTGTTAGAAAATCACTTTTAATAGTATGAAGACTCCATTCTCTAATGAGTTGCCTGAGTGATCTACTATTTTGAACATTGAATAATTACATCCTTAAGTAACCAGCAACTTAATAATTTGATGCTATTTAAAGATATCCAAACCTTGAAGTAATACAAGGAAAATAACTTTGTCCATGGCCTTATTGATTCATATCATAATTTTGAATGTTTAGCCAGTGTATTCTACAGTAAATGTTAACTAGTGTTACATAATTTCCTGTTAGACTCCGCATTCTTCTTTTTCAGAGTTTTCAACTGATTTGCCAACCAGAACCCATATTTTATAACATTTGTCACAAAATCGCTCACGACATATATATTTATATATAGAATGACATTATAAACAAACATGAAAATTAAACTTACTATAGATCTCCATCAATTCATTACTAACTATACTATTCACAATATATGTACAGAAAAATAGACCAATACATAGGCACATTTGACATTTTATATACATTTTCATATTCTTTACAACCATTCATGCACTGATGCAATGGTATTATTAAGATTTGTAGATTAATGATCCATATTTGACAAATAAAATAGGGAAATCTGAAAGAAAAACAACGATATATAATAATATCATTAAAAATTAAGAATAGTTTGAACACATATGACTGATAATCGCGAAGAAAAATTAGAGAACTGAATAGTAACTGACTGATAATGAGTATTGATGGCTTCATATGAACTAGAACGTATTCAAGATGAGCTAAAACACTTTATATCGCTGAGTGATCCGATACTTAGGAATGGTTCAAAAAATAGAGTAAAATAGCTAACTAGTTCTTCTGGGCTCGTAATTGCACTGAATTTGATATTGTACGTAGTCGATACAAGCTATATTAGTTCTTAACTCTTATCTAGTTTTGATAGGTTTCATTTATAATAAAAGATGTATTTAACTGTTACAAGTTATGAAGTACGCTAAAAGATCGTTTTCGTGTTGAATGACTCTGTAGCTGAGCAAAATAACACAGTCTGCATATAGGATAGAACACAGATTTTTTTTATTTATTTAGATGAAGTATTCAGTTACTAGGTAGTTGTTGAGTATTTGTTAACAGGGATGTCACACAACTCTATATGTACGATAAAAAAATCCTGAAGACGTAGCAAAATAATACATTTATTCGTGATGAGACGAGATAAGGTTTTCAACAGATTTAGTTGCCAATATCGATGATAGGGATTGATTTTGGTCACCATTTACATCTGATCATAACTATCGTTATATGTCATATTCACTGGATCCATAATTATTGGATTACATGAGAGTTGTCCTGCGGTATTTGTTAAAGAAGGACTTAAACCTATAGCAAAGCTATTTCAAATTAAGTATTTCCTGTCTTTAGGCACCATACTTACAAGCATAATGATTGCATTATCTCTTCAATCAGTTATCAAAAATTTCACTATTCAACTAAGTTACCTTAAGCTTGAATGTTTACTGTGGTATAAAACCTCGATACATATTTCAAAGTACTTCAAATCATTTCTTAAGTGGTACAGTCACGTTACTGCCTTGAAATGGTAATGCGTGATTTCATTCGAATATATTTCTAATAGTTACTTTAATACACTGATTTAAAGATATGGTTCAGTCATCCATTTTGGATTACGCTTGAAGAATTTTTGCCGTTTGATTAAAAATCATGTACAGGATTCCGACTTCTGAAAACGTGAATTTGGGCATAGGTTTTATGATTCCCTGAGTGTTAACACATAAAAATCTGGCTTTGCTGATATAGTCATTTTATACAACAATCAAGTTATGAAGTGATGACTCAGAATGAAGGCCATTTATTGTTGAGTTATCAACCGATGATTCATTTAATCTCTTTTGACAAAATAGGAAGCAAAATGTTGTTTAGTCTCTTCAGGTATTATCAGAAATGATCCATAATTGAAACTGATGGATATATTTTCGAAGTTTTAGAATATACTATCAATAAAAAGTATAATCCTTCCTTATACTTCATGACATCAGTTTCGTGTTCTTGTGGAGATTCCACAAATGCCCTGGCATGGCCGAGAATTGGGAGAGTCCGCTCTCCCTCTCCAAATGCTCTCACATGGTCACGCGTATATAGCCTCTGACAGGGAAGTCCAACTCACTGCCTTCTCGTGGAGGGTTACGGATTTGAGAGGAAGAAAAGTGAATGCCCGGAGCTTTAACCGGGTTGGTGAACACGGAGGCTCCATCAAGGGGTATTGGAAAACCCTAATTCCAAACCAATGGTGCACATGGGCTCCAGTATCGTCGATCACTGGCTACCATGAAACTGCATCTCCTAACGATGCTCCATTGCCTTGTGGATCAGACCTTTAGGTCAAAGGCTCGGGGTGTGGCTCCCTAAGATAACCACCTGCTTCGGTTTGAGCACCCGCGCAGTATCACAGCCCTCACACAATTAAATGAAATGACAATTTTTCATGCAGCAAACATATATCTGGTGCCCCTTTGTACCAATATATATGTGTTTAAATAAGTAAATAGTTCTTTTGCACATCCCATAATTTAATATGTGCTTCTTCTTCTTCAATTCTTACATAATTGTCATTTCGTATAGTATATCACTTATTACTCCTTCTTCAATGTATTACACTTTTTCTCTCTAATAAACAAAAATCTAAACTACTGTGGTGCCATGCTTCGTTAATCGTTCACCTCGATAACCGTTATGATACAAAACTTAACGGTGCATAAAATCAGAAGGCAAAGAGAAGCGGAAGCTACAGTTTTATTAATAAATGACTCAGGCGAGGAAATTATAAGCACATCAGTAAATATCAGCGAGCGAAACATGAATCACACGCATTGGAGATGGCAGATAAGCCTACTCACTTTAATCAAGCGTTAATCGATATTTATAGTCAGACAAGAATAAATGACAGACATGTGATAAATAGGATAAGAAGTGTACACACTATCTACGATCATATAAAAATCATCAGGGTTAATAAGTGGATAACTGACAAGGTGAAAACATGATTCATGATGGATAGGTGAATAGGCTTGTTCAGAAGTAAGAATAACGCATATGGGTAAACATAACAAACAATACTACACTACTTATAAACTATAAAGCTAAAAAGACAATTTAACTGACGTAGGATCTTTCACTATAAATCACAATACTATTACGACTAATTCAAGTCATATACATTAAACCTTTTGATTGTATATACATATACATATATCTACATCTAACCAACTAAGTATCCTCTCATTTCGATTTAAAATTGATTTATATCTAGGTTAACTTAGTTTATTGATAAAATATTCATCCATTTCTGTATATTAAACGAAACTGTTTAAATCTTCCCCCCTCTCCCCCCCCGAAAACAATTTAAAGTTTCACTTCGAGAACAAAAAGGCAAAACTAAAACAAAAAAAAATGATCATATTTTATGTAATATTGAAATGAAATCTTTATTCTCTCTTAATTCTCTAATATTTTATTAATGACCAAAATAGAAAAAGAACATTGGAACAATGTCTGGAATGAATGGAATACATCAAACTGTTTGTCAAACAATATCTAAACATAAAGATTTTTGACATTGATTAAATACCTATCACAGGAATGTATAAGTTCATTATGTATAGTTTATTTATATCTCCCCATTGATGTTTAAGAATGCAATCAACCAATCTCTTATTAGTATATGTATACCCTATCTGAATTGTCTCGATATTGCCTTAAATCACAAAGATTTTAAGCAAAAATTGATTATTATCAGAAGGGGTTTTGTGAAGATTTTAGTAATTTTTATAGAGTTGAGATCATGAGTTAATTGAAGCTAGACCACCATGGAAAACCTGGAAACACTGGACGTTCGTTTCGTCCTATTATAGGACTCCTCAGCAGTGCGCATCCACGAACCCACTCTCGCGGGATTCGAACCTAGGACCTACCAATTTCGAGCCGAAGCCCTTAACCAGTGTTTCCAGGTTTTCCATGGTGGTCTAGCTTCAATTGACTCATGATCTCAACTCTATAAAAATTGATTATGGCTAATAATTGATAGAGTTTATAGTGAATGATACTAAGCTCAAGTCCTAGAGTGAACATCAACTGTGGGATACAAATAAATCTGACTAACGAGTCATAAAGAGGATGAAACACTGATCCAGAATTTCACTGCTAGCCATCATTCATTTTTCTATATAACAAATATATTTGCTTCTTTTCTAATTATGTTAGTATCGTCATACTCAAATACGTTTCAGAATACTGAGAAAAACCGATCTAAGTAGATTATACGAAAGAAATTAATTTGATAAAACAGAATCAGCCTCATAGATAAAATAATCTCCAGCTGATAGGTTTCAAATAAAACAGAATACACTAGCTAGATTTTACTGTAAGTCCCTTGTGAAACGCAATGAAAACTAATGATGAAAAACTATATGAAATTAGTCCTCTCGGGATATATATGTATGATGATAGAGACCAGTAAATTACATTCCTGATTATATTAACTAGTATAGAACACTAATATTTACTTAATTTTCATAATTGAGATCATAAGTTATTTGAAGCTAGACAACCACGGAAAATTTGTTAGCACTGGATAGCTATGTCGTCCCATTGTGAGACTCCTCAGCATAATTGTTTACCTTCAATTAACTCATGATTTCAATTATGAAACTATTGAAATCTCCCCATTCTGTTTTTCTAAATTACTAATTCAAAATGAATTTAAAATATTTTCAAATGTATATTATAATCCCTTAAACCTAACATAATGTCTATTGTCAAACTGAAAAGAAGAAAAAAAAAACAGAAGAAAACTGATAACATCCTACTGTTTTCTAAAATAATAGTAGTATATCAATCATTCAATATATATGTGAAGTCTGTTTTGTCATGGAATTTAGTTAAATAATTGAACTAGTATATATATATATATATATAATCAGTTTAGTTCAATGACATACATTTCAATAGGCTTAATTTCTGTTTCACTTATATATCAAGACAATAATTGTAAACTGGAAAACATACAAAAAAAAACGATGTTTCCTTTTTTTTTTTCTTTTTTTTGTAACTATCTAAATTAGTATGGAGTGATAGAAGATTAGAACATGGACGATATTTGTACACATATATATATATATATATATATATGAGCTTGAAGCTTATACCTTCCTGTCTATGTTGTCAGTAGACAATGTACATTTTCAGTATTTATGCTTCCCTACTGTTTTAAATGAAGTAAATATTAAATATATTGATGAAAATAAATTAATGATTATGAATATATTTTTTTGGTCATTTTCAATTTCGTCGTGGATTTTCTGTCATTAGATATATATATACTACTACTACTAATACTACTACTACTACTACTACTACTACTACTACTACTACTGTGTAAGTGATTTGAAGAATTGTTGACGTGATATACGGATTATATGATATGTACATAACAAAATGTTCATTTTAGTTTAAACTAATAACTTGAAGCAGTAAATATTATAGGAAGAATAAAAACCCTTCTGATAATAATCAATATTTGCTCATTAGTGACCGTCTTCAAGAGATATTCCCTGGAGTTCTAGTGAGAAGAGGTGAATTAAAGGAGTTCAACTAGGTCTGTTGTGAGATAGTCAGTCACTGAAGACAATGACAGACGGTTGCCGAATTTTGTGAATTGGTTGAAGGTAGACGTTAACACTGTTAGATGCTCGCTCAGTGGTCTAGAGGTTAAGCGCTCGCGTGCGAGACTGATAGGTCTTGAGTTTGAGTCTCGCGAAGCGGGATCGTGGATGCTCACTGCTGAGGAGTCTCATGATTATCACAAATAATTAAGGAACTAAGTAATTAAATAATGAAAATATTTGAAATATGATTAAAATGGATGTAACGACTTGAATTTTCAATACGAACGTTAGAACAGTTCTAATTTACTAAGCTGAAACTCGGAGAACTACTACAACAATCATCATAAATGTACAATAATGTATAAACAATTGTCTACGTAAGATAAGTTGGATGGAGAATGGTGGTGGACGGCTTATTCTCCCCCATGAGGGTTAACAGGCGTACGTATTAAGTAGTATGGTTCAACGATTTTTTCAACAGAATAGTACTTCAACTGAGAGGATCGATAACTAACAAACAATGTTTCAAATTAATACAAACTAGATAACGGTAGCATTGGATAGCAATTCAGCAAAAGCTGTTTTAACTAGATCCACTGGTCTTGAATTCAATTAATAGCGTAGTCTTGAGTATACACTACTTATAAGTCACAATACAATGTGTCATGAATATTTTGAAAATTTGCCAAATGATACTATTTGGATTATCAAGTCTTCTTAGTGAAGTATAATATTCACAGAGATAGTCTTATCACATACTAACATCCACATTATAATTGAAATTAAGAAGTATACAATGAATGTCTCATTCCTATTTATATCCTAATTATGACGAAATGAATCTGAGACTCTATATTTTCAACTATAATACAATTGACTAAATTTGGTATAGAAACCACTACAACTTTCTGATTCTCAATGATTCTTCTATTAGTTTAAGACTGATAGGTCCTGGGTTCAAGTCTCGCGAATCAGGATCGTGGATGCGTACTGCTGAGAAGTTCAACAATAAGATAAAACGGCCGTTAAGCAGTGATTTCAGATTTTTCATGATGGTCTAGCTTTAATTGACTCATAATCTTAACTATATAATATTAGTTTAAGTGTTTGACACAACCATTTTACATATTGAATTATACTTTCTAAATTATTTAACTAAACTAAAGAATTTTTTATATTACAGAAGATTTAATTACAATTGTTTCATTTAAAAGAGAAGAAAAAAACAAGAAAGACAACGTTTTATTATGGGTAGAAACTATGACAGGAAATTATGTTTGAGTACATTTTAACAATGTGACAGAGACTTATTCTGGAACACTCTATTATAATTTCAATAAAGAAAACAATTTTATATTCATATTATTGTTAATAATAAACACTTAAGTTTCTTTAAAAGAGTACTACTAATATTATTACTACTACTATCATTACTACTACTAATACTACTATTACTACTATTATTACTACTACTAGTACTACTACCACTACTAATAATAATAATAGTACGGTCAAGAAATATTACAATACTGAATTAAAATTTTCAAATAATGATTAGTAAACTAAACTAGGCGTCTAACCTATTTCCTTTGGGTATTTTAATTTAAAGAATTATATTTTATATGTGCATTTGTAAATGGTGTATGGTATACGTGTTATATGATGATGATGATGATGATGATGATGATGATGATGATGATGATGATGATGATGATGATGATGATGATGATGATGATGATGATGATGATGATGATGATGATGATGATGATGATGATGATGATGATGATGATGATGATGATGATGATGATGATGATGATGATGATGATGATGATGATGATGATGATGATGATGATGATGATGATGATGATGATGATGATGATGATGATGATGATGATGATGATGATGATGATGATGATGATGATGATGATGATGATGATGATGATGATGATGATGATGATGATGATGATGATGATGATGATGATGATGATGATGATGATGATGATGATGATGATGATGATGATGATGATGATGATGATGATGATGTATTGGAATAACTAAAATGGATAATTTATAGAAGTAGTTAAGCTAAGTTGGACAGTATATTACTGAAAATAGTTGGTGTATTGACATATTAAACTTTATTAATATAAATTCATTCAGTATTGTTTGTTTGAATCTTCCCACCGATTTGTTAGGACAGCAACTGATCAATCTCTAATTGGAATATGTGCATACTGTGCGTAATGCCTCGATATAGCCTCAATTCACAGAGACTGACCAGTTGCAGTCCTAACAAATCGATGGGAAGATTCAAACAAACAATACCAAGTGAATTTAAACTTCACCCCATCGCACAAGAAAGTGGCTATCAGGACTCAGTGGCCGAGTGGATAACGCGATGGCGTTTGAAGCGAGGGTACTGGATTCGAGTTCCAGAGTGGACATCAACTCAGATGAAGGTACATCCAGTTCACGGATTCCAAATACGACGAAATGTTAGTCTTGAATTTCACTACTTGTAACTATCCATCTTTGGATATTATTATTATTTAAACACCATATATATATGCACCACATGAATGATTCGAATTGTGTGAGGGATGGGATACTGCCCGGTTGCCTAGACCGAAACAGGTGGTTTTATTAGGAGGCCATATCTCGATCCTTTGACTTAAAGGTCCAATCCACAGAGCAGTGGAGCAACTTTAGAAGATGCAGTCTCATGGCAGTCAGTGACTAACAATTGATTCATATGTCATTTGTTACCTTAGGATCCTGGAGCCCATGTGCACCATTGGTTTGGAATCAGGGTTTTCCAACACCCTATATAAACCCTTCGTGTCCATCGACGTGGTCTAAGCGCTGAATATTCGCTTCTCATCCTCTCAATTTCATAAACATAACCCCGTCGTGAGAAGGCAGTTAGTAGAACTACCCTATTAGTGGCTGTATACGTGTAGCCATGTGAGATCATTTCGTGAGGGAGAGCTACCTTTCCCCACTCTCAACCGTACCAGGATATCGTCAACAAATGTATGTAAATAAAAAAATTTATTTTAAACAAAATATAATTAGAACCATCCATTTCAAGTGTTTACAATCTATCATAAAACAGCGATTATAATATACTAATGTATATTTGACAGAACATATGTACCTCAGCGTAATGAATGATTAGTATATATGTTAGTCATAGAATTATCATGATATGTCCATATGTTTCACCTCAGTACTATACAATATGTAAATATAGTTTGAAATTTACTATTCTTGATATAACTATATGAATAGAAAATTGTATTTACCATCTTCATTAGTCATTATTGTTCATATATATTCATGTCTATATAAACAAATGAAGGATAGAATTTTCTAATCATTTCTGTTATTTTTAAAATACGTTGCATATTTTCTAGATTATACTATATAGGTCTGATAATGCAAGGCGAAATCCGACTCACATGTCCTCATCGTGCCTCCTGCGTCATGGCATTCATCCCATGTACTAACATGAGGAGTAATACGGATGTTAGAGATCGGTCTAATCAACCACTCTACTTATACCTACAATTAATTACGAATGCTACAATGAGTCACTGCATAACTATTGAGAGTTCAATAAGATGGTAAAAAAGAGAGGTCTAATAATATTATTGCATTTACTAAGTCGAAGGATGCCTTAAGATTAAAATTTGATAGGCTAAAGATATAGTTTGTTATGCAATATTGTTGAATAAATCTACTATCTCTATCTAATGATTAGTTCACAGTCAATCACTTATATACATATTACCTACACAATGATTATTGGTAATGAAACACTTAACAGAATAGAATGGAATACAAATAATTTCAGTGATTAACAATTTATAGTGTTAGTACAGGTAGATTAGTGGAGATTTTATGATTTTTATAATTTGATACACGAACTAACCTTCGGCTAGACCACCTTTAAAAAACTACATGCACTGGACGACAGTCTCATCTTAATTTGAAACCCTTCGGAAGTGGATATTTACGACCCTGCGTTTATAACAAAAACCGTGAACTCTGATTCTGTTGTACACATACAAAATTAGATGTCGATTAAGGGACCTAAAGTTTACGTGTTCATACACAAAATTGAAGGTTAAGGACTCCATTCACGTGTCCAAGGTTGGGGACATTCACTGTTGAATAGTCTCACACTAGGAAGAAACGATCGTTCAATCCTTTCTAAGTGAAGTCAATATCAACATATTCAATCAAAAGTCTGTGTTAAACAGTTTATGTAACACGACAATCAACAAAGAAACATGATGAATATCTTATTGATTTTATATTTTGTGGCCCATATATTTGAGTCTGGTTTGATCGTACGAAGATACTGTGTATATAAAGGTTCTATTTAACTTTTTATATTACCTAAGTTAACGCCGTTTGTATGACGGCGGTAATAAGAAGCCGAATAGGGGTTATGTTGGATGAATGTATTTCAAGCAATCATTTAACCAAACAGACATATAGAATAAAAAAAAGAGAAAGCGAAGCAAGGGAAAGTGAACCAACTCGTACTAAACAAGTGTGACCCAGTATTTATAGTCAGACAAAAATACGTTATAGACACGTAATGAATAGGGCAAGAAATTAGCATATATACGATAATATAAAAATAGTCAAGATTAATAAGCGGATAATTAACATGGTCAAAATGTGACTCAAGAAGAATGAATGAATGAATCGGTCCTTCCAGAAGCTAGAACAACTTATGTGGGCTTGACTTCTCATTAAACACTACAGGTCTATCTAAAATCTGAAGCAGGTTAGATATTTCCCGTATCAGTTAACAGTACTTGTTTATCTGATTATAATCACAACAAGTATCATGAATACCTCAATTTTAGTTTGCAAAAGCCATAAGATCATGTTTCGAAACTAGTTTTTTTCATTCAGTGGAAAAATATTTTGATGAAATTAATGAAATGAAGTTAAATAGGATCAAATGTATACATAAAATTCTTCATACTAATGCTCCATAGATAAACTAGTTTCAGATATCGCTAGTTTAATTGTCAATGATCATTATACAGTTTTCTTAACATTCATTTTTGGTTAGAAGACTATTGATTGTAAGTGTTAAGAAAAGTAAACTTGTATTATTTTTATATAGTTGAAATCATTGGTCAATTGAAGCTAGACCACCATGGAAAACCTGGAAGCACTGGACGGTTGATTCTTCCTATTGTGGGACTCCTCAGCAGTGCACATCCTCGATCCCGCACCGCGAGATTCGTAATCGGGACCTATCAGTCTCGCGCACGAGCTCTTACCCTTTAAACCACTAAGCTGGCATACAACGATGGTAACGTCTAACTTCAACTGATCCACAAAACTTAGAGACACATTCACCATTATCTTCAGTAAGTTACTATCTCACAACAGATCTGTTTAATATCCAGTTGTCATTCCTTCTCACTAAAACTCCAGGAAATAGATCTTGAAGCCAGTCACCAGTGAGCGTATGTTAGTTTAAAATTTTTTTACTAGTAAACAAAGAAAGAAAGAATACAATTTTATATTTTGTTACTTTTAAAACTCATTTCAATAGTCATTTATTCAAGCCTTAGTTTTAATTGTTTATTGTTTGTCACCAGTTTGAATAAATAACGGATATTAAAAAAAAGATTAAAAGTGAACAATGAATACATAAAATGCTTATGAATTCAGTCTATATCGAGACAATACCCATAGGATGCATATATGGCCAATAAGAGACTGATCAATTACAGTCCTAACCATCAATGGGAAGATTGTGTTTGTTTTTTTGTTTTTCATTATTTTAGGAATGAAATTACTGAATTAATAAATAAAAAATTGACAGATTTATGAAATCTAAATCTAAATTTTAGAACAATGAACGAGTAATTGTACATACATATATATGTATACATATTCTTTTTAAAATGGCAATCGGCGACCTTCCACACTCTTCCACGAGAGGGTAACAGGCGTAAATAAGCAGGTAAGTATGTACAATAAACAATTCATAAACCAAAAAAAGGGTTGAAAAAGATAAATGAGATGAAATGGTAGTTCATTATAAAAAATAGATTTAAACAAAACCATAATTAGAGATTACCCATTCAAAAAGGGAATGATAAAGAAAGAATTTTGGAAATTTTCCAAAATGCTATATTGTAATTTTTATTGCATTACTAATATCGTATTGTTTTGTTTCTGGTCAAATGGTTTCACTAAATTTGTAGTGGTTAGAGTATTTATCATAGTTGGAGAAAACCAGGTTTTATATATTGATTTAAATTAAAAAGGAAAAAAGCAATTTTTCTAGATTGATTATCACTACCGTAAAACTTTGTTTTATCAAGGATGGATAGTTGCTGACAGCAGTATTTAGTGAGTGCATACCGTCTTATTTAGAACATATCAACTGGTTATGTCTTGATCCTAATGTTGATGTTTATGTTTTGACTCATTTGAAGAGCTTTAATGACCTCACTATTAATCGATATTGTACATTCAAAATGGACATATGCTGATAAAGACTAAATGATAACAGATCATAACTTTAGCAACTAGTTAATATAAAATATGATAAATAATGTGTTGACAGTTTAGATAATAAATTTTTTCAACTAAACAACCGTTGGAAACTTCAGAATTTCACACTTATCATCATGGTGAAAATACAAATCTGAGCTTGTGAGTGAGGATTGATAAGAAAAATCTATCTGTTGTCCTCTAGTTTTTAATGATTGACTTAGAATAGACAATCTCTTATGTAAACTGCTGAATAACTTTTACTAATCTATTATACAGAAACTAAACTGAGATATTACCGACTAATTTAATGTACTTCAAAATAACTTCAACTGAACAAGAAGATCATCAGATATAAAGAATTATGACATTGACATTGTGTTTGACATGAAAACTTTAGTGCTTAATGATCTAATCCTGTTTCTAACAACGGGTAAGTACTGGTATGCAATAGTGAACCAGAATAAAAACGGTTTTTAGACATTATCTTGTAACCATATTATTTCTTCACTAATGTCCTCCATATCGTCGTACATGATATTGATGAATGGAATTAATCATTTGGTTTCAATTAATATAGTTTCTATCAAAATATTTTCAGAAGCTGTTTTTGTGGAGATTAAATATTTTCATAGTTGAAAGCGTGAGTCAATTGAAGTTAGACCACCATGGAAAACCTAGAAGCACTGGACGGCCGTTCCGTCCTAGTGTGGGACTCTTCAGCAGTGCGCATCAACAAGTTAAGTGCTCTGGCGCGAGACTGGTAGGTCCTGGATTCGAATATCTCGAGTTGACGTCGTGGATAGGCACTGCTGAGGAGTCGCTCAATAGGATGGAACGGCCGTCCAGTGCTTTCAGGTTTTACCTGGTCGTTTAGCTTCAATTGACTCAGGCTTTCAACTATTAAAACAAAATATTTACATAAAATATCCAACTAATCTTAATCTTATTTAAAAATCTCAAAGGATGAAAATAAATTCATTATCCGATCAATAACAAGAGGTATTGTATAACCTCCATATATATACACATATAATGTCTATATAAGAAAAATAGTAGTCATAAAGTCTTTTATGCCCAATATCAATTACGTAATATCTATTATAAGTTTGAAATCAACCATCTAAATATATAACACTTTTGACTAAATTAGATCGAATAGTTTCATAATGTTTGTTCGCCGAGTTGATTTGAGACAATTAAATAGGAAGAATGGATTTACTTCAAATTGATTCACTGAGATTTTACAATTACATTATTCTTCTTCCATATATCAACCATTTAAATATTAGCAGAGATGGATAGTGGCTAACAGTGGAATCCAGGACGCGCGTTTCGTCCTATTTGGGACTCGTCAGCTGGATGTACCTGCATCTCAGAGTTGATGTTCACTCTGATATTCGAACCCAGTACCCTCGCTTCAAACGCCATCGCGTTATCCACTCGTCCACTGAGTCCTGATACCACTTGCATGTGCGATGGGATGAAGTTTAAATTCAACTTAATATTGTTTGTTTGAATCTTCCCATCGATTTGTTAGGACTGCAACTGGTCAGTGTCTGTTAATTGAGGCTATATCGAGGCAATATGCACAGTATGCACATATGCCAATTAGAGACTGACCAGTTGCAGTCCTAACAAATCGATGGGATGATTCAAACAAACAATACTAAGTTGAATCTAAATATTACTTTATTTTGTATTATTTAGATAGTGAATAACATTATTCCACAAAATCCTTTACTTTTATAAGCAAATATGAACAGTGGCT